GCTTTCATTTCTGTTGAAGTCTGACCTGAACATCCAGCCCCAAACACCTGACTTTTGTCCAGCTCACATTTGTATCCAAACTCCAAAACTCAAGCTTTTCTTTTAAACTAGTTCAGGTCTTTGGGGAATACTGCAGAACAAATAACAGTAAAATAAAGCGGAGTGCTTCTGGAATGTAGACTGCACATTGTTAGACACACACCCGATTGTTACAGAACTGATACAGATCAAATGCTCAGCTGATGCCTTCACAAGATACTTCCATGTAGCTTTTGTGAGAATAGTATGAATCAGCTCATTGTTTTCTAATCAGTATTCTAGAGTTTGGTTCTGCTACATCAAGGGTGCCAAACTCATCTGGCCCCATGGGCTGGATCAGGCCCACAGACCAGCCCTATGCACTGGAGCCAGCATACAGAGCCTGTCTAACGCGGGCGTCTCGTGCAGCACATGCCCTGGACCAGATGTGCAGGCTCCGTGTGGCATGCTGACCCCAGTCTGGGCCTTGTGCACTGAATGCAGCACCACAGGTGGACCATGCCAGGATGGTCTGTGGGCCCAATCTGTATTGGCGCCGTAGTCAGCATGTAGGGCGCTGCATGCAACACACCTCCCAGACCAGCCTGTGTGCTGCATGCAGTGCCTGCAGTGCTGGGTCCAGTGCCACATACAGCGTGTACCATACTGGCTCCACATACTGAATGTGGCACATGGGGCTGAGGCCAGCATGTGCTACATGTAGTATGTGGGATTGGTAGGAAACCCACAGGCCAGATCCCAGGGCTCCACAGACCAGATACAGCCCAGGGGCTATATTTTTTGACACCCCGGGCTACATAATTGTGATGGGCCTGAAAAACCCAGCAGGGAAGTCCACTCCATAAACTTACCTGACTTAGGCCTCTTTCAACATCACAGGCTGAATCAGAATTGCACCTGACTGACCCTTGAAAGACAAAAGAATCTGAAACTGGATGTAGATCTGAGAATGGAAACACTGATTCATCTCCAGATGAAGCATGCTGGGATAGTCTATCAAAAGCTTACTTTTACATGTGCCTGGTTCTGAATGGCGTTTCTGAATCAGACCCATTTCTGTGAAGAGGGAAAAAAGCAGTGCCTTTTTACAGAAATGGAAGCATTTCCCCAAAAAGAAAACCCTCTTGTGTCATTAAGGCCATCAGCCCTCTCTGCTCATCTGAAAGCAGCATAAAGTAACCAACTTAGCTTTAGCATGCTGGAAGGTATTAGGGGTTCACTGATTGCTGAAATGGCACTGGTTTATAATCAAGGGAGCAAACAAATTGTTATAGAAGAATAATTATATGGATTTCTTTAAGTCTTTGTAGTGCATGTGAAAACTTATTTGTTCTGCAATTAACGTAAGAGCAAGGTTACTTTAAGGACTTTATTACTACTTTTAAGATCCTCCCTCTTATTTTTAATTGGAAGAAGAGCAGGACAACCCATTCATTTGGTTGGTATTAAAATGTGTTATTTTTTTAACAGAAGAAAAGTAAGCCTAGAAGCCTACATTAAAGCCAGATTCTTATTTGGGGATATGTTTCTCATTCACTTCAGTGAGAACTAATTTTGTTTGATGGCACTAGCAGCATTTTTGGTCTTAATTGAAACAAATGTGAAGAAAAAAACCCCCAAACAATGCTTGCTCCCAAACACATTGATGTGAAAATTCCTGGCAGCTTCAATGGAACCAAGACAGGCCCACAGAAGACTTTTACCCTCTGTCCTGATCAACATTTCAGGCAACAAAATTTTGTTGGAGGGCAATTAATATGGTTAGGGGGCTAGTGCCCATGACTTCCGAGGAGAGGTTGAGGGAACTGGGCTTATTTTGTCTAGAGAACAGAAGACCAAGGTGGGATTTAATAGCAGCCTACAACTACTTGAAGCATGAAAAACTCTCTTACTAGGAAGGTAGTAAAACACTGGAACAGGTTATCCATAGAGGTTGTGGACTTTACATCCTTGGAGGTTTTTAAAACCTGGCTACACAAAGCCTTGGCTGGGATGATCTAGTTGGGGATGGTCCTTCTTTGAGCAGGGGATTAGACTAGATGACCTCCTGAGGTCCCTTCCAACACCCATTTTCTATGATTCTATGAATCCCAGGCACATGCTAAGTGAAAAAAAAATCAGGGCAGAATTTGGTTCACAGCTTACTAAAGGATTTAGAAACCAATTTCCCAGTGGAATGAATGGCTGCTGTGTAGCTAAATCCATTAGCTGGTTTTGTACATTTTAACCTTTAAATGCAACCAGCTGTCACATGTCCTCTACATGGTCACCTGTATTGCCAAAGGAAAAAAATACTTATCTGCAACCTGCATACAAACCATCCATACACAAGTGTTGAAACAACCACCACCATCGTAACTTGGCAGGAAAACTGAAACAAAATATAAGTCACCTGAACAATCTTGGAATCTGCCTAGAGTACTCAAAATACACTTATAACGCCCCGAACCAGTAGTTAGTTCAAAGGGTGTGCACGTGTTTGGTATAAATATATAGATACATATGTTATGACAGTCATTAGATAGAAATCTCGCTACAAAATATAATTCTATATTTGTTCAAACATAGGCTTTCCTCAATAGGGAGAGGTTTTGTGCAGTGTACATGTACGTGTGTACCTTACATATATGCATAATCTGTAAAACTGTGTATAAGTAGCAATAAAAAAAAAGATGGCAATCTGTGTTATTTGCACTCATTTCTGTTATGTGAAAGGTATGGCTCCATCACCCTTTTACAACAATTAAAAGGTGTAAATAAAAACATGATAAAGCTACGTTATACACACAATATAGCAAATAAGATATATAATGTTGGGGATCTTACTGTAAATTATATATTGCTAAAAGGAAATATCACTATAGTTGATTCGTTATGTGATCACCACCAATGAAGCATTGGTCTTAACCACACCAGCAATCATAAACCTGTACAGATTTTGCCCTTTCAGACACAGACACACATTCCCACACCCATGCGCATAAACTCTTATCAACTGGCGTAGCTAAGAAAATAATTCTACTTCAATACATGAAGTGTCCAAGTTTTTCCTATGGTAAAAATGAAAATATGAGGATCCTGAGCTAGTCTTAGCTATTTATCAAAGGAGTAACTGCCAAATTTTGAAGGACAACTACTATATTTATGCCTATTAAGTATACCACACACACACACACACACACACAGTATATGTATGCATATACACTTATGCATAGTATACTGCAAAACATAATACCCCAAGAATTTTTAATAATTAAGTTATATAACAAGGTTTTTAAAAACTTGAATGGAAAATTCTTAAGTATTTTTTCAAAGAAAAGTCTCCAAATTTGGCTATAATAATAAATTACTGAATTACTAGGGATCAGTGGCTTCTAATTTGAGTTAGCTAAAATATCGCCAAAAACAAGGATTCACGTTCCTTTATTTCTAGTATAAAACTTAACACTTTGGAAGATTCTGAAATGTTTAGTTAACATTTCTTTGTTATTCATGATTTTTAAGTGCTTCTTTTTGAGTTTTATTTGGGATCAGAAACAAGATAGCTAAAAAGCAGGTCCTCCCTGCCCCGGTATTCCAGACCAGATGGCACTAGAAATAATAATATAATCAGATGACACCAGAAATCTCATGGGAAAAAAATTTCTTGCAAGGTTTTCAACTACAATTTGTGGATTAACCTGTTAAGAAATTGTTTTTCAAATAAGTTTCTGACCTTTTGAATGTGAAGTAAAACTAAAAGCACGCCTTTACACAAACCAGTCTTGCTTGCGATTACACCTGGTATAAATTAAAAAAAAATATATATATATTACAGATATGAAAATCATTATGAACAACATTTGTGTGCATCTTTATAAATCCATATTTGCATCCATATCACTAACTTATGAGTACCAATTCCTGCTTTTAAAACTGTGACATTCATCTTCTTGTGGCATCACATGGTAAATGTGCTCCCTTTTTTGGATGTCTTACCCCTATGCTTTCTTTAATAAATGTGTAGTGATTAATTCAAAAGAATTTATGCATTATCTTCTCTATTGAAGAATACTGGTTTCCTCTGTATCTGATGCAAATCCATTGGCTCTCTTTCCC